GGCTCCCCACTGAGCAAGGAGCCCGATGCAGGACTCGATCCCAGGACCCTGGGATCATGACCTGAGCTGAAGGCCGCCGCTTAACCGACTGAGCCACCCAGGCGCCCCTGCATCAAGTTTTAAAATACCTAAGCTGAATAATAAATATCTGAGAACACATATTAAAACAGAGGAGTATTTTAGAAACAGTACCAGGAAGAAAAATATCAGGTCTAATAGCTACTAATAAACTATAAAGTTCTAATAATGAAGAAGTGATCCTGGAACAAGAATGAGATTGTTGAGAGGAAAAATCCAGGAACATGTTATATACCTAAGAATGTAGTAAATCAGTAACATAGGAAAGAATCAATTCATTGTTTGGAAAGAAAAACAAATTTAGATCCTGGCCTCACTTGGTAAAACAAAATAAATCCAAAACAATTAAAGGAACAATAAAAATAACAGAAACTATCATGTACACAAAAAGTAAATTGATCGTGTTTCAAAAGAGGGATAGCTTCAAGCTCTTTTAAATAAGTGAAGAATATATACGGCCCAAACTCAGAAGTTACCAAGTGAACAGCCAGTCTCATTCCTACTCCCAGAGGCCCTCTTCTTCCCTGGACATAAGCCTCTTTACTACTGTGGTTTTCAGAAAGATTCTTTACACATAAAGAAGATGTGGTATACACCAAGGAATATTACTCAGCCATTAAAAAAAAAATGAAATCTTGCCATTTGGGACAACATAGATGGACCTACAGGGTATTACATTAAGTGAAATAAGCCAGAAAGAGAAAGACAAATACCGTATGATTTCACTTATATGTGGAATCTGAAAAACAAACGAACAAACCAACAGAAACAGGTTCAAATACCAAAAACCGGTGGTTGCCAAGGGAAGGGGGTAGCGGGATGGGTGAAATAGGTGAAGGCAATTAAGAGGTACAAACTTCCAGTTATAAAATAAATAAGTCATGGGATGAAAAGCACAGCACAGGGACTATAGTCAATAATACTGTAATAACTTTGTGTAGTGACAGATGGTGACTACACATGTTGTCGTGAGCGTTATCGTATGCTACATAATTGTCAGATCACTATGTTACATACCTGAAACGAACACAATATTGTATGACAGCTATACTTCAATTAAAACTAAATTTAGGGGTGCCTGGGTGGCTCACTCAGTTAAGTATCCAATTTGATTTTGGCTCAGGTCATGATCTCGGGCCTGCTTAAGATTCTCTCCCTCTCCCTCTGCCCCTCCCCACCCAAAAGAAATAGACCTTTAAAAAAAACTAAATTAAAAAAATTTTTAAATTTAAAATTAGAAAAATACAGTGGCCTCCTAAACAAAATAAAACTCAAGTTTTTAATTTGTATTTCTGATTATGAGCAGCTTTGCATATGTTAAAATGACACCTGAAATTCAGTTTCTCTGTGCTATTTGTTCATATATGCTCCCATTTTTCTCCCTACTTTGGACTATTCGTTTTTATTACTTACTGACTTTTAGGAGGTTTTTTTTTAACGAGAAAGAAATTATTGCAAGTATTTTTTCTTGAATTTGAGGTTTGTCTTCTCTTTGTTTATATTTTCTTCTTTACATCAGGCAGAAATTTGATTTCTGAGTATTTGAATTTCCACTTTTAATGGTTTCTAGATATTGTGTGATACTCTGAAAAATCTTTCATACACATACTATAAATTTCATGTTTTCTTTCTTACATTTAAATCTCTGAGCCAGCTAGAGTTAATTTTGATGTAAGGAATGACATACAGTTCTAGCCTAACTTTTCCCCCATATGGCTACAGAGATATACCTAACATTTAACAAACAATCTGGGAATGACTTTGTATTCCTGAAGAGATAAACCGAAACACAGAAACAAAGACATATAGACCTAACATAGCATTTTAATCTTCATCTAAAAAATCATCACTGAGAAATATTGTATTACTAAAGGTAAGTTGTTAAAAATCTAAAAACACTAAAACCCACAAGGATACACTGGTAAAGGACAGATGATCTTACAAAATATACAAATGGCTAAACTTACAGAAAGATACTGAATTTCATGAACAAAGGAAATGAGCATTAAGCCAGTGAGATAATTATTCTCCTATCAAATAAGGATATAGTTTTTTAGATGATACTCAAAGCTAGCCAATAAACAAGTAAATTCAAACACTAATAGTATATACTATTTACATAACTTTTCCATAAGAAAAATAATAATATATGTATTATCAAGGATACAAAAAGAGGATCATAAACCAGTAAATCAATTTCAAAGAATCTCTCTTCAGTAGTAACTCATAAATCTGGAAAATTTTTTAGGTACAAAAATGGTCAAAGCTGTATTTTTTAGGGGGTGGGGGGGAAGCCCAGAAAATTGTCTTTCTTCCCAAAAACAAAGAAAGAGTCAAAGGATTACACAGCCAGATGGGATATATTCTGTAGCCATTCAAAATGATCTTGAAGAATTAAATATAAAATGCCTATAATTTGAGAAGGAAAATAGAATATAAAACTGCCTATCTAATATTACAGGCAAAACAAAAAACTGAAAGGAAAAATTAAAATGTCAAAAGTAGTTCTTTGAGTAACTGTCATCTTTTCATTACTCTTCCGTATTTTCCAAATGTTCTATATTGAACATCTGTCAGATTTATCAAGAAAGCCCCAAACTACCTAAATAAATTGAGCAACTCTTACATGGAGCACTTTGTATACAAACATACTGAATAAGATTTTATTACATTTTATCCCTCTAATTGGAGCAGTATGCAACAGACCTTTGAGTCCACTACCGGTCAGCCACACGACCTCAGGCAAGGTAAAGACCTTGGCTGGAATCGGAGGCCTGTAGCCAGCATCACCCGGCTGGGAACAAAGCACGCCCTGAAGCCAGCGCCGACAGGGTGAGAGCACACACTGACTTCCTCCAGGAGATGGCCTCAAGACGCACACTCTGCCGCTCACCACACCCCAGAGGCTGCTGGCTGGCATCCTCACTATGTCCTCCAGTGCCGACCACCAGGTTCATGCTCCAGACACCCTTCCACCCCCCAGGATCACAGCTAGAAGCTCCCTCCTGAGCCACTCCAGAGGCAGCGGTCTCAGTGCTCACCCACCTCTAAGGCCTGCTACTCAATGTGTACTCCATGGACCATGAGCATCTCCTACAGCCTACTGAATCGCAGGACTGTGTCCACTCCGGTGCTATGGAGTAAGAACCTGCACCTTAACAAGATCCCCAAGGATGCATAAGCCCACTGACTTCTGAGTAGCACAGGGGACCCAGGAATTCAACCAACTCTCCCTCACCATCATCACCCAACCTCACCAGTCTCATCCCTGGAATACTCGGTGACCACTGTCTCTGAGAGGCCCCAATATTTGCCAGGCTCTGCAATGAACAGATCTGCACCCCCTTACTTGGACTAAAACCCTGCAAGCCTGTTCGGGTGGAGGGCCGCGAGGGTGGGGGCGCTCCCGTGAAGCTGCCTTCCAGGCACTCCGCCCTCTGGTTTTAGTCACACACCTGCCACCGGGTCACGCTTCCACATTCGTACTCAGTTTGGCCCCTGCCTCACTGTCTGCTCCACTCCTGGTCTTCAGGGGACTTCGAATTCCATGCGGGTGACCAGCCAACACTGGGATCTTTGCTTGGCTGCCTTTTCCCCAGTGATTTCCTCCATCTCTGCTCTATCCTGGATCTTGTCACTCAATGAACACACCCTCCTTCCCAGATTTCTGCTTCTCTCCATCGAGGAGCAAACATTCACCCCATCTTCCCAGCCCCGTCCCATCCTGAGAACGCTGGCTCCCCACCGGCCGAGGGGGGGGTCCACGATGCCAACTGACACCCTTCTCTGCCTGCTCTCTGCCTCAGCAAGGCTACTCCACAAATGGGGCCGGCTCAGGTTGGGAGGGCAGACAGGAAGTCCCGCTCAAGCCCGGGTGCTCTAGGGCATCTATGTTCCAACACTGCTCTTCCTGAGTTTACTTATTAATAACTGCACGTTTCCAGTAAAACAGCACTTGTCTCCTTGGCCATTATCACCTTAATTTCTCTCTCCTAAAGGAAAGCCCTCACAGAGGGGTGAGTGGAACAATTAAACAATTACCGAAACCATACCCCAAACTTCTGACAATCACAACGAATGGCTCCATCTCCGAACTCCCTAATCCAGACATTTCACACTCTGATCTGCTTCATGACTTGCTTACTCCCATGACGCCTAATTCTTCAACTGCGGCTCACGCTCCCGTCTGACTCACCTAGCCTCACTCTGGGAATCTGTCCGTTTTTAAACACTGCACGCTCTTCCCTAAATTCCTTTGCCCCAGTGTCCTTTCGTCACATCCAAGAAAGTCCTTATCCGAAAATGTGCTTTCCTAACACTTGAACCTGAAATGCTGGAAAGATTTTTTTAAAAAATCCACACAGCAGGACAGACCATTATCACTATCATTTACTGATATTCAATCTCAAATGGACTCCACACCCTGGCCAGGATGTTCTCCACATCCCCACACAACCACTGTAAGTCCCTTCTGCTCTCAAACATTTGGTCCCCCACGCTCAGTGTAGCCACTGTTAAGCAAACTCTTACTTTAGGAAAAAATATGAGCCATTAGGCAAGAGATTCCTCAACTTCCCATCATGAAATGAGTCTCTTTACCCACATCCACACCCACCCTGCCCACACAGGGCCGCTGGGCCACCCTTACTCCACTTGCCCATATCTTCATCTCTTCCTCACTCCACGGGCAGCACGCTCTGGGAACTGACCCACCATGCCCAAGCAGTCACCACTGTAACTTCACCACCTACAGAAGAGCAGGTCTTCAGCAGCATTCATTTCCTTTTACTTTCCAACCCATTAGCCTAATCTTCTTACTTGACAACTTAAAACAGAAAACATCTCTAAAGTTGAGCTCTTGAACAAGGAACTCTTTCAATAAATATTTTATGGAGAAAACAGGAGGTTCACTGAACGTTGACATAGTTTAGAAGCAATTATTTATGATATCAGAGAGCCAAAGAGTCCAATGATCAAAGTAATTAGTTTGAGGTTTCCTAGTGTGAGCCTAGACCCAAATAACATATGGATAAAAAAAAAGTACTCCACAGAAAAATCTCTCTGTGATCTCCCTTGAACTCCACTCTAAGTCCTCCGCTGCCCATGATCTTGTCTGTGATACCGCTGTGACAGTGTCATTGAATTGTTACCTTAGGATGGGCTCTAGGTCAGGATGTCGCCGTTCTTCCCTTTTCAGTGAACCCTGATTCAGGGCTCTTAAGATGGTCTTGTCAAAAGTCTCTGAAGACACTTCCTTTGGGAGCTAGAAAAGGAAAACAGCAAGGCCAATGTTAAGTTTTTCACTTACTGCTAAGGAGGTTACAAACCAGAGGCATAAAAGGAACATAAATGTCTCTTGCTCTGTCATTGTCCCAAAGCAGTTCCTTCTCTAAATCTTCATGACACAGGCCCCGTATGGAAGCAGCATCGATTTTTCTACTAGGACAGTCTTCTGCCTTCTGGGCACACCTCAGGGCTCTGTGATGGTGCAGAACGACCCAGCGGCATCCAGCACGCTACTGGGACACGCCTGCACACCACTCCCGCTCTACCTGCCACATGCCACATGAAAGTCACATCCACACCAAAGCTACATGGAGTAACGTTTTGCATAGTGTAGCTACGATTATTTTAATCCTCAAGTAGTATTCTGAGAAGTGTTATTCCTCCCTTTAGAGTCATCACCTTTGTGCCTCGTTTCACAGCTGAATCTCAGGCAATGTCAGATACCAGTGCGACGCACCAAATAAAGAACTGGGTGTGAAAGACAGGGTGAAAACTCTCATCTTCCTCACATAAAAAGCACTAATTGAAGGGTGAATAACCGTTCCCTCCACATGATGGTGGTGCCCTCAGAGCGATGTACCAGAAACCACCAAAAAAAAAAAAAAAAAATCACTTGGCCAAGAAAGGTTTTCTTTAAAAACAAAATTTTAAGTCGTTTTGTTTATTAACTAAGCTTACTTTTTAAAATTCCTAATAAATCAGGGGTGCCTGGGTGGCT